TCAATAGGGTGGAAAAAGGAGTAAAGAGTAAAGTGTAAATATAATTTTTTAAGAAAACACATGCAGGACCATAATTTCTAGAGATTAATGATTTTCTTGTGGTTACATTGAGTCTGGAATTCACAACTCTTAGGGAGCTGTACGTGCATTTGGGGCAAGTCAGAAGAGAACAGAAATGCAACCGCATGTATTTATGGATTTGCACAAGAAGTTTGAAGAAGGAGATAGGCCATTGTTTTCAACTTGTGACAGGATTGCAGAGTGAGCATTCTTTCCTTTAAAATAATTCTGATTAGTGGGGCCCATAAATCAGCTTTATTCTACAGGAGGAAGAGAGCAGCTCCATGTGTGCCTCTACTTGATTTGGGCAACTGGCAGAGGAGTGAGTTAGTAGAGCAGTTCCTCTGGGGTTGTAAATTGAAGTCAGTGGAACTATGACAGTTCATACTGGTGGAGGATGTACCACCTCAAAGATTGCTGATCCCACGTTATGCATCTTCCAAGTAGTCCTTGGAGGATCCTTAGGACTGCTGCAGTCTGCTTCTGCTTAGCTTGCAAGACCTGACAAGGATCACGGCCCAAGGTGGGAAGTTTGCTGGTATAAATAATATTGTCTATAACCTCAGTTTCCTGATTCAGCATTTGGAATGTGAATCATTTACAGGGAGAGGACTTCTTAATGAGAGGACAGTGCTTTTACAAGGGACAAGGATATATTAGGTTTGGAAAAGATGCCAGATACAAGGCTGGGGAGAACCCAGCAGAATACGATTTTCCTTATATGATGTTGGAGGAGTCAGAAGATTCTGGAAGTTTTCTGTTTCTCACAGCTTCCTGATGTTTGCATATATTTTTCAGTGGATTTGAATCTTAGTTGGATCAAAATGAGACTGGGGCCTTGAAGCAGCTAGCAAATGACTAGAGCAGAATTTGTTTTTCCCTTCATGTGTTAAAAATGCCACTGTATTGTGTGCTTACCTCTGTCAGAACACATACTCTCAAAAATCGTTGCTGGGAAGGCTTCATGTGCATGACAGAAAGCTTTGCAAAATGCCTCCAGGGCACACCTGAATCTGAAAACATTCCCATTCAAAAGCCAAAGAGTTCTTACTGCATGGGAGCTGTGTGCTCTGCACAACCAGAGCAGCAGGGTTAAATTCTTGCAGCTACAACTGGGCTGTAATTACTGTAAATTAGTGCCCTTTGCAGTGTTTGGCCTTCTTTGTCCTTAAATAATTGCTGTTATCATAGATGTTTTATTGCCTTCATTATGGTTAACATTTAAATATCAATGAAATAGTGTGCTACTAAGTCATCTATGCAATAGCTATCTGTTAAAGTTATCTGTGAAATTTGTGTTTAAGGAGTATATTAATTCAACAGTGACTTAGGATTCTTGGAGGGAGGGTTATATATTTGTCAATGAATTATGGGAAACCATTGCTTATTAGGGGCAAAACCTGAGCTACTCTCATCCAGTATTTTGTGAGTAGAAAATACTTTGTGATTGGAATAATCCTTCTTTCCATTAAACAGAAATATTTTAAGAAATTTAAAAATATTTTTGAATCACCAAATCAGACAGTCCAGAGGAGAAGGACTTATGGGTGATGGTGGATAAGAAGCTCAACATGAGCCAACAATGTGCGCTGGAGCCCAGAGGGCCAGCTGTGTCCTGGGCTGCATCCAAAAAAGTGTAGCCAGTAGGTCAAGGGAGGTTATTCTGCCCCTTTATGCAGTTCTCATGAGACCCTACCTGGAGTACTGTGTCCACTTCTGGAGCCATAAGAAGGACATGCAGCTCATGGAGAAAGTCTAGAGAAGGTCCACAAAGATGATCTGAGGGCTGGAGTATCTCTTCTACAAGGACAGGCTGAGAGAGTTGGGGCTGTTTGGCCTGGAGAGGAGAAGCCTCCTGGGAGACCTTATAGCACATTCCAGTGCCTGAAGGGGTTACAAGGAAGCTAGGGAGGGATTTTTGACAAGGGCAGGGAGGGATGGGATGAGAGGAAATGGATTAAAACTGGAAGAGGGAGATTTAGGTGAGACATGAGGAGGAAATTCTTTGCTGTGAGGGTGGTGACACCCTGGCCCAGGTTGCCTAGGGAAGCTGTGGCTGCCCCATCCCTGGAAGTGGATCAGCAACCTAACCTGATCTAGTGGGAGGTGTCCCTCCCATGCAGGAGGGTTGGAACTAGATGATTTTTAAGGTACCTTCCAACTCAAACTATTCTATGATTCTATGACATTTCTACATCCACATGAAGAATTGCACCAGGAGATGGTGTTATGTTCCCTCCCTGCAGTTAGTGCAGAAGGAAACCCACTGTCACGTCCTGTTCTGCCTGAATCCAATCTATGTCCTTTGGAATTCAATAGAAATTCTCCCTTCAATTCCTATGGCTTCTGCTAACTCCTTTAGTCCCACATGTGACCTGTTCAGACATCAGCTATCTGTGTGATTTAATTTCTGTAAGCTGACTTTTCATGTGGCTTTTATTTATCAGGGTTTACCTAAAATCTTCCAATCAAGTGCATAGCTCATTTTTATGTAACAGGAAAGTGAGGCAGAGGGTAAACTATATTTATATATTTACAGAAAAAAATGGTGGTGCAATTGGAAATTCCATTTGTGAGTCCCGTTTGAACTTCCCAACAAACGTATGAAAATACAAATAGCAAATATAGATATTTAAAGGTGGGGGTGTTCATTTCCTGAAAGTGTTATATGTGCTATTTTTGGCTAACTGTCCACACATGGTTTTGGTTTGCATTGCTGGCTAAATAATGTAATTAATTGGTAGCAATTCTATGACAGAGAAGTTCACTTTGCACTATCCAAACTGCCACAGTGGGACATTTCTGTTGTCATCATGATGTTACTGGAGTTCAGAGGCAGAGCCTTTCAGCCACAAGGTTATACAATGACACTTGCTGTGTTCACTTCCAGAGCTGAGGCCACACTGAGACAGTGGTACGTGCAAGGTGTGCTGCACAGCCAGCAAACTGCTGCAAGAGTTTATTCTCAGGTTTACTTCTGACCTTGACAGTATTTGCTTCTCCTTCTTATCCACTAAACTTATGATAGTCTCTGAGACTTAGCGTATTGAGAAACTGAACACACAAACCCATAATTTTGCATACCCATAGATCCCAATACTTAGCCATGTGTTTCTTGTCCAAACTTTGGCATCATCAAGTTTTTCAGAGGATCTGGAATGCATACTATATATTATACCATAAGCCATGATGCACTAAGGCCTACAGCCTGGTGTGTGAACGTGTGTGACTTGACTGACACACATTTCTGGCAACAGATTTCACGTGCAGATTCCAGATTTCCAAAACTTCTCTCTCACTGACATAACTCACTCTGCTCACACGTTTGGAAAGGAAGGGTAATTTTGCTCTTTTGCTCTAATTTTGCTGTCATGGGTATGTCAGCCCCCAAACTAGCTCCAGATCAATAGTGCATCCATCTGGTGCAGCCCTATGCTGAAATACCAGCTGTGTTCTTAATTTAAAGTGGTCATGCTCTGTCCTGCTGGGATACAGTGCAGCAGCAACACAAGCACGCTGCTTCCAGCCTCAGAGCCTGCTCACACACCTCTTCTGAGCATGCCTGCACATAGCTGTGTTACCCTGCAACCCCCAGTTTGGCCAGGGTGCCAGTGTGTTCTCCTGTATACCAGAAAAACAGGCTTAGTAGGGTGTAATCTAATTTAGCTTTAGTCTGCTGATGTGGTAGATGATGGCTTTGCCAAGGGATTTCTAGGCAGAATTGTAAAAATGTTTTTAAATTGGCAAATGACCAAGAGGGCTTTTTAACTTCTGTAAAACTCTTCAAGAGCTTTTGATTAAATGTCCTATGTAAATACATAATGTTGGAACAACTAAGTACTTCAGGGAAAAGAGTGATGTGCTTTTAGGTTCCTTCAGCAGGTATTTTCTTCAATGCATGAACAAATGTACAAAAGCACCACAGTGATCCTGTGGAGTGCCATGCCCCTTGTATGAAGCAGAAGTTGCTCTATGCTGTGGTGCTGTGGACACCACACATCAAATGCAGTTACAGCCAGAAGCAGGACTGGCCACGCTGGGACATGGGCTCCCCACTGGCTCAATCAATTGTCATGACAAACCAAGCTACCGTATTGGCAGATTTGGTGATCTTGGAACATGGCAATTATGCCCTGTTGAAGTGCTTTCCATTTCCTGTGCCATCTTGATAAACCTTATAGCTTCTAATTTGCTAGAGAGTCATTGATATAATTAGGAGCAACATAATGGGAGCAGCACACTCAGCTGATGGTAATCGAGTCAGTTCATTTTTCATAAAAAGCGTTAAGGGGTCCCTACCAGAAGCTGAGATAATTTTCTCTTCAAGCTCTGCTTTGACAGAGCAGCAGAAATCCTTACATGCCAGGGTTGTGTCATGTTTTATTATGGTCTGTTCCACTACCCATATATTTTTTCATAAGGAAACCAAAGAAGGGTACCAATCCATCTGTGTGTTTTCAAAAGGGCAATTTCAGCTGTCTATCCATGTAAGCTGGCTGTGTTAACAAGTCTGTAAAGACAGCAGCTCCCTTTCGGTGTGAGAGGAGCATTTTAAGGGCAAAGCTTTGATATTGCAGTCAGTGAGTTTGATGTCCATTCACTCAAGTTGCACCAGGTTTCCAAGCAAAGTGGCAATTTAACCAAAAAGTTTGGATGTGTTTCTAGCAGCCGATAAAACCTCATCTCCTGTAGCCCTTGGTATTCAGACATGGTAACTAGTAACCTTCATCCATTCTTATGCAGCTGCGGGTTGCTTTCCCCTGACAGGATCTTTCATGATGGTCTGGAGTATTGTTCAGCATGTCTGACTGCTCACAGTTTGGCAGCTTTATTATCAGGGGTTTTAGCAGTGTTTCTGTAGACAGTGTGTTGGTGAAGAAATGTGAATAATTGATCAATTATTCTCTTTTCTTTTTTTTTTTTTTTTTCCCTCCTAACAGCACTCTCAACAATAACAACATCACCCGCATTCCTGTCACCAGTTTCAATCACATGCCGAAGATCAGGACTCTGTGAGTAACAGCTATTAATAATAATAATAATAATAATAATAATAATAATAATAATAATAATAATAATGTAAGCTAACTCATTGGGTATTTATAATCCTGTGACTATTGCAGACATTCACTGCACTTGCTGTGAGGACCATGGTGGGCAGGGCTGGGTCTCACAGCTGGGCCCCTTGTTCAGGGGCCCCTGCACAAGGGCAATTCCAGATACCCCTGTAGGGATGGGGACAGTTAAGGCCAGGACAGGCCACCAGCCCACGGGTGGGGACCAGTTCGAGTGGGGTCCATGGCCAGTCAGTGTTGGGGACCCACACTGCCGTGGTGCTGCTGGGCCAGGGCGGGGGGAGCCCTGGGAGTGGCTGGGGGGGGAGGTCTTGGGGGCAGCTGGTGCCTCAGGGCTCTGACCTTGCTGTCACTGGATTTTCTCAGGGTTAAGTAAGTTTCAGTTTTATCAAGGTTTTGAATTTACCAGGAACTGAAACCGGATTATTTTTTTTTCCTGTGGGAAAAATCTGTAACATGAAAATGTGTTCAAAGCTGGAACATTGTCAGAATCATGAAAGCTTCTCAGCTGGATCAAATTATTTAATTTTGTTAATATCCTGTGTTTAAATACTATTTCTACTTTTCAAATTCAGAATACTAATTTCTGAAACAAGATTTTTTTTTTAAGAACTCGAAATAAAGCTTCTTTTTAAGATACTTTCTGAAACAAAATGTCACTGATTCTGATGCATTTTTAATAAAAGCTTCTCCTCCATCAACTCATTTTTTCTATGGACCTGGGCACCATTCCACTGGACAAGCTATTATTTGCTTTAGTAGACCAAAATTAAACTGTTTGCAGTTGTGTAATTTAGTCATAAGCCTACCATTTTCTTTAAATAATTATTTCTTTAAATTTATTTAGGGAATACACAACTTCAGAAAAAGTCACTTTTAAGCAAAATCTCCCTGTTTTTTCCTCCAAAATCTCAAACTCAACCAAGACAGGTTTAGTTCTAAGAGCAAAGAAAGGGAAATAGCAGCTGAAAATCTATGGCACTGAAAAAAATGCTTCAGGGATGCTACAGTTGCATATGTAAAAATCATACTAAATAAGTTAACAAAACTGAAGGAAAATTATTCTGACTCACGTCAATTTATGTAAGTTAACCTCTGATTTAAATTTAAATTTACATCCTTCATTAAATGGTGATATTTGGAGATCTTAATGTAAGTAATTAAATGGAAATTAGGTATTTGTCTGCTGGAATAGAATGGGTACAGAGGCTAAAAGTAGGGGTAAGGTTCCTGAAATTTTGCCTTTTCTCAGTCAGTCACAGTGGTCCAGAAAATTTGTCTGACTTCTTCAGGTTAGTCAGTCTTGTCTGTTACTAGAGCTCAGTGCCTTCTGCCATTTTCCTTTTAGTTTAATTTTGGAGATGGCTTTGTATATAGTTCCCTGGAGACTTACACTGACTAATCCCCCTCTGCTGTAATTAAGGAAAAAAGAAAAAAAAAAAAAAAGAGGGGGGGGGGGGGGGGG